GACCTCTCCTTTCGTCTCCTCTCCTCTCCTCTCCTCTCCTCTCCTCTCCTCTCCTCCTCCTCCTCCTCTCCTCTCCTCTCCTCTCCTCTCCTCTCCTCTCCTCTCCTCTCCTCTCCTCTCCTCTCCTCGTTGCCGTTCGATGTATTGATCACAAATTCTCACTTTTCTAACTAACTCTAACTCCGCTCAACTTACATAAAAAAGAAGTCAAACTTGAAACCTCCGTTTTCATTTTCAAGTTTGACTTCTTTTTTACGGTAGGTAGGTAGAAGAGTAGTACTAGTTTTTAACTTAACTTTGAGTAACTTAACGAGAGTAGACTGTACTGAGACACAGTGAAGTAGTTCGCTCCTTATAATAGTGGTAGTAGTACTGACGCTGGCACGGCCCGGCCGCCGGCCGCGCACACCTTGCGCGGTGCCACACTGGGTGCCACAGTGTGATGGCAACTGAGACCCAATGAAGAGAATGACAAGATGGGAATTTGAAGAGGGAGAGGAAAACAGGTCGAAGAGAAGATGATTAGAAGAGCTGAGCAGTCTTTGTTCTCTGCTGCATCAGAAGAGCCTCCACTCGCCGCATGGGGTGAGGATATTGCAGAGGAGATAGCATTTCCCCGTTGAGTCTCCGCAAGCAAGGATACCCTGTGGTCAATCAACGTCAGAGCAGCGCGTATCGCTATCTTGACTCACCGTCCGCAAGCTCGTCGCTGACACTGAGCTACAAGCTGACTCGCATATCCACCTTCCCACCTCGAGGAACGTCGAGCTCGAGTAGATGATGACATGCCTGTCCCACGACCCGGTGACGATGTGCCTGTTGCTGGGCGTGAACGTGACCTGCGAGACAGTATCGCGATGATCCTCCCAGCACTTCACCAGCCCCCCTCGCAGATCCCACAGTCTGCAGCTCTTGTCAGGAGACCCGGACAGGATGGAAGATCCGTCGGGACTGAAGCGCACGGAGGTGATAGTCTCCGAGTGGGAGATCAACTTCCGCACCAGCCCCTTCATCCTCGCGTCCCAGACTCGCAAGAAGTTGTCGTCTCCCCCGCTCACGAAGACGTTGTCGCCAGGGGAGACGCTGCAGCTGCGGACGGCAGCGAGATGCCCCAGGTGAGGAGCAGCCTTGGAAAGCTCCTTGGCCGACTCCACGTCCCACAGCCTGATCGAGTGATCCAGCGACACTGACACGACTCTCCTGCCGGAGGGAAAGTAGTCTACCTCCAGCACGCTCGCTTCATGTCCCCTCAGTGCTGCCAACAGACGTCCAGACTGCAGCTCCCAGAACTTGATAGCCTCGTCCTCAGAGGAGGTGATGAAGTGCGAGCCCTCGGGATGAAACTTGCACGACGTCAGCGCCCCAGCATGTCCTCTCCTCGGCTCCTCGACTATCTTGGCGTCCCGGAGGCTCCGGAGGGCGTATGAGGTGTCGTCAGAGGCTGTGATGAAGAAGTCTCCCTTGGGGGAGAAGGCGATGCTGGTCAGGCTGCCGTACTGCTCGAACACTCGCTCACTCCTCTGCGGGCTGACTCCCTCACTCCTCTGCGGGCTGACTTCTCCTCCTCCTCGTTGAATCTTCTCCTCCTTCTCCTCCTCATCTCCCTGAGAAGCCTCCCCCTTGGACGCTTTCTTGGCGGTTGAGTGAGACTGGCTCGGATCGTCGCGCAAGAGCCCCCGCAGGTTCCAAGTGCGGATGGAGCCGTCAGCCCCTGACGACAGCGCCACGTACTCGTCTATCGACACCGCGACGCCGTAGACAGGCCCCTGGTGCCCGGCGAACTCGAACAAGGAGAAGTCCACCAGGGGGTCCCACACCCTCACCGTCGCGTCGTAGGAGGTGGAGAGGATGTAGAGACCCGAGGGAGTGTAAGTCAGGGCCAGCACTGGCCCCTTGTGCCCCTCCAGCTGCCGCTCAACTGAGCAGTCTGACAGCTTCCAGATCAAAATCTTGCAGTCGTCGCCGCTCGACGCGAACTGATCGGGAAACCTTGGGTTAAAGCAGAGGGCCCGCAGGCCGTTGGAGTGACCTCGCAGGACGTTGTTTGGCTGCCTGATCTCCTTCACGTTGTCGTCGAAGGACGAGAACTTCCAGGTCATGATGACAGCGTCGGATCCAGCTGAGAAGATCCAGGCGCCGTCGTTGGAGAAGCAGCAGGCTCTGACCCCCAGCTGGTGCGAGAAGAGCACGTGGGTCTCGCGGAAGGTGAGGGCGTCGAACACGTGGATGGTTGCCTTCTGTGTACCGGCGATGATGGTGTTCCCGTCGGGGCTGAACTTGCAGCAGGTGGCAGGAGACTCGACGTAAAGGTTGGCGAGCTCGATGCCGGACTGGATCTCCCAGAGCTTGACGGAAGTGTCGATGGAGGCCGTGATCATCCTCAGCCCGTTGGAGGAGATGTCAATGGCTGTGATCGCGCTCCTGTGCCCCCGCAGCTCATGCACGCAGGCTCCGCTCTCCATGGTCCAGAACTTAGCGATGCTGTCGTCAGCTACCGATACGACGTACCTCCCGTCATGCGTGACAGCGAGCGCTCGGATCCACCCCTTGTGCCCTCGGATGGTGCGCAGAAGAAGCATGGCCTCCTCACTGACTTTGATCTGCTTTAGCCAGTTCTGCCCCTCCCACCCGAAGCAGACGTGCTGAAACGCCAGCTGGCTGACCAGTGAGCTGGAGGGCTCGTTGATCATAGTCTGGACTAGGAGCTGGGGGAATTGGAGCAGGGTCTCTGCTGAGGCCGTGAAGAAGCGCTGGAGCTGGAGGAGGCTGGAGGAGGTGGACAGGAGGTCGCCCTCGAACTGAGACTGAGGTGAGTGGATGAAGCTGAGAGTCACGAGCAAGTCGCTGCAGTACTCGTGCACCCTCCCTGTGAGGACGCAGAGTCGGATGAAGCTGAAGGACATAAGGATCTTGGTGGCCTCCTGGTACCGCTGAGCATGGAGAAGGTGAGTTATGAGCGAGTTGGCTGCCCGATAGTCGTTCCCTGTCCAGGTGAGGGCGAGCTCCGGGTCTAACCTCGCCCAGAAGTAGGAGGAGAGCTTGTGATTGAAGGCTACCTTGACCGCTGGGTCCTGGAGGCCGTAACGCCTCGTCAAGAGCTGGACGAGCTTGCGGGAGGAGAACTGAAGAGTCTGGCTGTCGGCCTCCTTGAAGAAGAGAAGAGGGAGCAGGAAGTACTTCATGGACAGCCAGAGGGTCGTCGGAAGGATCTTGAGCTTTGTTGCGCTCCCACCTCCCGCACCTGCGATCGGCGACTCGATGGACTCGAGCCTCCTCTCCTCCAGCTGCTCCTCCAGCTGCTCCCGGGCATAGTCCTGCGCCACTATCATCCTGATCTCCGTTTCTGTCAGGCCGTACACAGACGCGATCATCAAGTTGACAACGTTCTTGCACAGCTGGGCACCGCAGAAGGTCTCTGCGCTCTGGAAGTAGAAGTCACACAACCCTTCGAATGAAGGAGGCAGAACGCTGATGAAATCGTCCGCGTGCTTGAGATGCTGATCGAAGTCCAAGACCATGCTCCCGACCACCTTGAGGTAATCGGGCCAGTGCGACTCGGCTCTCTGCACGATGAGGCTCACTTGCTCCATGCTGAGTCGCTTGCTGCTGTGTCGCACCAGACAACTCAAGACTTCCTTGCGGTCAAACACGTCGAGGGGGTTGACTTGAAAGAAGACAACGGACAACCTCTGGTTGCTAGCGACTGCCTTTCGGATCATGCCGGCATGCGACATGGCGAAGATGAACTTGAAGCTCTGAGGGAGGCGGACGGGCAGCCAGTCGAACCGCAAGCCCTCGATCCTCTCAGGGCTGTCCAGGACTATCAAGACCTTCTTCTTGGGATGAAACTCGTCGACAAAGTGGCAGAGGTTGAGAAACTTGAGCCTGAGCAGGTTGTACTCCGAAGGGATCGGCAGCAGCTGCGAGGGATTCTGAGGAGGAAGCTTGGGGGAGTAGAGCTGCTTTGGGTGGGTGTATCCGCAACCCTCCAGCACCTGGGAGAGTCGCTGCAACAGGATGTAGAGAAAATACCTGACGGTGATCCTGCGGGAGGATACGGAGAAGTAAAAGCTCAAGACTATCGGATTGTCCCAGGAAGCCCCTCGCTCTCCCAAGTCGACTCTGCTCTTGCTCAACTGACGAATGCCTGTGTTGGAGTTGTTCTCTACCACCACCTGCTCTTCCAGCATTCTCTCCAACATCGCCATGAGCTTCGATTTGCCACAACCAGCCTCTCCTTGCACTATCAGCAACGAGTTTGCGTCGGGATCCGACACATGTTTCCGCAGCCGATCTAGGAACTCGTACCTTGCAGCGTATTTCTGGCTCTCATACTCACCGAACCTCTCGAACCTCTCACATTCGTACTCAATGTTCTTCATCGGCCTCTCAAGGCAGCGCTGTAGAACTCCGGAGGATCGCAATGTTGCAAGGATGTCATCAGCAACTCGATTCCCAAAGTCTTCTAGCCCATCCAGCAGCACCCTCCCTTCCCCGTCCAGCCCGTTGTAGAAGCAAGGGTAGTCCTTGTAGACGGTCCCCTCAACCAGCAAGAGATCCTTGAGGTCTTGCAGCCGCTGCCGCATCGCCAGGTCCATGGAGGTATGGCGATCTCTTAGGCTAAGGAAGGGAAGTTCAGTCAGAAGTTTTCTCTTGTTACGGTCATCTCTCTTCATCACGTTGCGCAACGACTTGGGTGTCTTCTTGATCTGAAGGAGGAGCGAACCCTTCTCGTGCTCTCCCAGTGCTAGATTCAATGTTGTTGTAACTAGGGGAGAGATGTTGTCGAGATTGATCTCGGCCGTTCCTATCACCTTCCTTCCTCCGAAGATCTTTGTCGTGCAAGCCTGCAACGTGATAGTTTGATTCTCAACCTCCTCATTGTACAAGAGCCTGAACGACTCGTCGAAGAAACTGTTCTCACTTCCTCTTGTCTTCGTCTTCACCTTTTGATAGTCCAACTCCATTTCAACCCACACTGGCTGCCCTTGAATCCCCGTCTCCTCTATCTGATCGTCTTGTATGTACAACTTCTCGATAAGTCGCACTCTCTTCAGCACGCTTTCTCCCTCCTTCAACGCTGACAGCCCTTGCTCTGTTTGCATCCCCATCAGCTCGTTCACGATTCCCTCGGGGCTCTTCGCAGCCTCCTCCCCGCTTGGCTGGTAGACATCGGGCTCGACTTGGAGCTCGAGGAGAAGAGCCCCGGGCTTGAGCTTCTTGGCCAGCTTCAAGTAGGAGGTGGGAGTCAGCCCAAGGGTCTTCCATGCTTTCTTCGTCCTGCCGTCCTGCAAGCTCTTGACGACCAGGCGCGACTTGAGGACGGAGAGGGAGGAAGCTATCTCATGGAGGATCTGTTCCTGCAGGTCCTCCCTGGCTGCCTTCCTCTTCTCGCCGCGCCCGATCACCGACCGGGTATCGTATTCCAGCAGCAGGAAGCACCACGTCCTGTACGCGTCTAGCTGGTCCTCTTGGATTCTCAGCACCTGGCTGCTCACAAAGCCACCGGCCTGCGCAGTCGTCTTGTGCGACAACTCCAGCCATCTCTCTCTCTCCACGTTCTGCCGCAGCGCCCAGGCCTGAGCTGCGTGTAGCGCCTGCACCCACAGATCCCTCGACTTCTTGTCCTTCGCTCGGAACCTTAACTTCCTCAACGACTTTGTGTTGCCGAGAGGTTTTTCGAGGAGCTTGCCGATCATCATGACCTCGTCAAGTCGACGGCCTGTGACGTTTGCGAGGATGAAGTCTCGTTCTCCCTCCTTCGACACCTGCCAGCTCCACAAGTCAATCGTCGAGTGCTCAGGCTTGTCAGGAGGATCATTCTCCACCATGTACTCCACCACAGCGAATCCCTGGAAATCCAACGAATTCTTCAGCTCCTCCAGTTGACCTTCGCTTGCTCCTTCTTGTTCAAAGTCCCACAAGACTTTCCCTGAGATCTTTTCAACAACTCTCTCCGTGTACCCATCCTCGTCCTCAAACTCTTCGATCAGCTTGTCTTGAAACAGATACACACTCCGCAGCTCTACCACAGTCTTTCCAACAACGCTAGCATGCCGAGCTATCGTGTCGTACTTCACGTAATCCTTGTCGAGATCCACCGTCCAGAAAACTTCCTTTGACTTGAGGTGAACAAGGGAGATTGGCTGTCCGTCAGGGTGATCTAAGTTCCTGAAGGAGCCTTTCAACCCGTACCTCTCGTTTCTTATCTCTACCACGACCGTCTCCAGCCTCTTTGTCATCACCAGCTCATTGCTCAACATCACTGCGCCCTGAAGAAGCTCATCCAAGAAGGTCCTAGTATCAATCTCATCCTGCCACACCACTTGGCTCGTCCTGTAGTCCCTCATGATGACTGGATCCCCTGACAAGCTTCGCTGCAACGCAAAGATTTGCTGGTTGATATGATGATACTCCACCAAAGTCTTGTCCTCCACATTCCTCCTTGACGGGACTCGTGCCGGTGCCAGCGGCTCGTCGACGAACTCGATCGGCTCAGTCATGATGTCGTCTCCTATGGAGGAGCTCCCCGCATCTTCCCCTCCTGACTTGCCCTGGGAGCCGAAATTTCCACCGGCAGTCTCAAGATGGACTGAGCTCAGGTCTTGACCTCTCGCTTGTCCTCCTTCTTTCCCTCCTTGGTTCTCTTGCTCCTTCCCTACGGCATTCCCCCCTTCGCGACCTCCAGCCTGATCAGTGTCTCCCTCGTTTTCCTCTCCTTCCCCCTTGCTCCCTATCCCATCTTGCGGGTTGCTCTCTGCTGGCTCGACGAGGTTTTGACCCTCTTCCTCGTCCTCCTCATCTTCATCTCGCAGCTTCAGCACGTCATTCTCGTCAACATTTACAGGCTCTGCGAAACGATCTTGACCCAAGTCTGATGAGTTTGAGCTTTGATCGTCTAGAACTTTTGAGCTTGCCGTGTCTTTTCTCTCGAGGAGTTTTTGTTCAGTGACCTCAACAGCACTCCTCTGAAATTCCTCCCACACAGAGCCATCTTCATCGTTCTTGACATTCCACAACTCACCTTTGTCATAGTAATCACATATTTGCTTCGGGATTCCAAATTGATCGACAACGAGGTAGCAAGGTTTGTTGTCCCAGAAGTAGAACTTGGCGATTCTTGAGTTGTTGACAAAATCTGCTTGTCTTTGACCTCTATCTATCAGCATGTTCAGATGCTGCAAGATAGAGGCGTCAGACGATGGCTGCCAGAGTTGGAGAGCAGCAAAGAGACTTGGCAGGTTCACATCCTCCGACCATTCCTGGCGCAAAAACAGCATTAGGAGGAGAGGGATGGAGCAACAACAGCACGGCCTTACCCCATCGGCTTCACAGACCTCTTGGACCCTGAAAGAAAGCAGGATGCACTGAAGCGGCAGCTCTTGGTTTGAGACGAGACCTGGGAGTATGAGAGACAGGTTGCTTTCTTCATCTATTTGCCTGTCTTGTTGATTCTCTGACAAGAACTTTCCCTCCATGATGTCTCTGACTACTTCAGGAAGGAGGACCTTCTCGTTCTCATGGTAGAGCACCTCGAGGGGAGGGAACTTGTTCTTGAGCTCTAGCAGATACTCCTGCCACTGATCGCGCAGCGCCCTTGACTTGGCCAACAACTTGAACTCGGGCTTGTCTGGTTCGATCCCAAGGTGGTTCCACTTGAAGACAAGGAACAAGGAGAACCCTTCGGGGTTGTGATCTCCAAAGACTAGTTCCCCGTCTTCACTCTCAACATCGTACGACAGCAGGTTGAAATGTCCGTACCCCTTGATGCTCAACATGGGATACTCCCCGCTTCCATCCGCCAGGCAATCCCGGGCTATCCATTTCGTCCCCAGCAAGGAGCTTTCTCGCAAGGTAGCAAACCGATCGCTTCTCGTCAGCTCAAACTCCGCCTGCTGCGTCTGCTCATCTTCTTCCAAAGTCTCGTCCTCTTCCAAGATGTCTTCGGCGGTCAAGTCTGACCTTACCGAGCTCTTCCTGCTCAACAGGCTTGCATGACTGCTGCGCAACGAGGTCATCGATCGTTTCCTCGTCGAGGATCTTCGGTACACCTTGTGCTCTATAGCCCCCTTCACCGCTCCTCGAGCCTTTGAAGTATTCTCCCACTCCTCAATCATGGTCCTCGTCCTCTGCTGGATGTTCTCGTTGGATATCATCTCGACCAGCTCATTTAGGCCCATGAAAGCATCGATGCAACGTTTGAACATGTCGACCTTCCCGCTGAGAGCCTCTGCACGGCTCGCATCATCATGCACATACTCGAAGTAGCTTCTCATCTCCTCGCATGTCCACCACTTCCCCCGGTACACATTGTGTATGGCCTCCACCTTGACAGAATCAGCAGCGCCCTTCCTTTGCAGGCGGGAGAGGTCGACGAGCAGTTCCTTCCGTTGGTTCTCTGCCGGGCGCAACTTCTTGATCCTCGGGCCCGAGTCCTCTTGCGTCATTTCACTGACTTCACTGTCATCATCGAAATCTTCATCATCGTCCTCATCATCCTCCTCATCATCCTCCTCATCATCGTCCTCATCCTCCTCCTCTACCTCTTTCTTCTCCTTTTCTGGCTGTTTCTTCGCTTCCTGGGCTGGTTCCTTTGCACTTGCTGCATCCATTTTCGGCTTTTTGGTCCTTGTGTCCTTGACCACTTTCGGTTGAGCCTCTTTCCTGGCAACGCTCTCTGATTTCATCTCGCCTTCCTTGTCTTCATCAACAACATTCATCCTCTCTGCATCATTGAAATCCTCTTCTCCTTCAATCTTGTGAATTGCGTCTGATGTCAGGAAAAACTTCTTCCTATCTCTTCTCGTGATTGTCTTGTAGGTCATCCTTGCGGCCTTGAGCGGACCAATCAGAGGGAACAACACGGCTCCTCCTAACAGAGCAACGCTCCCCATGAGCACTTTAGACAGTCCCTTGACAGCAAGCATCGGGAGGTTCGTCGACGCTTTAGATGTCAGTCGACCGCCCTGGCGGGTCTGGCCTTGACCTGCCGCCAGCTCATCCTGCAAGTCCTGACCGAACAAGTCGATTCCTTGAAAGACGTGAATGTCCACATACGCTGAGTTTGATTTCACGGGCCCAAGGCTGCGAGCTATCAACTCCATCTCATGCTCATTCTGAGCCTGCACGAGCTCTTTCTCCTCCCTCGCCTTCTTCTGCGCCAAGAGCATCGCCTGCTGCAGCTGCATGTCCGTCAAGAACGCGGGGTCTTGCATCCAGGCGTTGTTGCGCAGGTAGAAGAGACTGTAACTCCCTTGTTTCGCGGTTCCACTGCGCGATCGAGCTGCTTGCATCCTCTTCCTGATGAAGGCGTGTACGATCTCGAGATGTACCAGAGACATGTTTTCTGGCATCTCTCGAATCCAGTTGAACCTGTCATGCTCAAGATCTCCGTAGTCTCTGTAATATGCATCAGGCTGCCAGCCGTAACTGTCACCCAAGAGGTTCAGGAAGTAAGGGAAGCAGTTGTCAATCTCATCAAGATGAAACTTGAGCGCTCGTTTGTGATAGCACTCTGACTTGGAGACAGCATGCCTCAGGTCCACAGGGATGAAATGAGCTCGGAAGTCATGGAGGTATTCGTTCAGGGCAGGGAAGATTTCAGAGTGCAGGAAGTCTCTTTCCGGCTTCATATCATCCCAGTCACTGCTGATGTAGAAATGAATGGCCTTGTAGCCGACCTGGTCCGAGTCTTCCAGCCTCTTGCCCTTGACGTCTTCGGGGATATAAATGTCGTTCATGTCCACTTGAAGGCTCATCATCTTCCCGTGCACGGGGCCCTTGAGCGCGATGTCATCGATGACTCTCAGCATCTCGCACTTGGCGAGTTTGTCGGCTGAGCTCAACTTGCACAGGCGAACGAACCTGCGAGCAAGCGCCTCTGGTTTCCAGACATCTTTTCCCATCATGTCGTCAAGGAAGAATATCTCAGCGACGCCTTCTAGGAGGTCGAACTTGTTCAAACTGATTCGGCTCTCAGGCAGATCAAGCAGGAAGGAGACCTCAGACCGCAGTTGCTGCATGGCGAACTTGCTCTCAGCTATCAAGCTCCGCCCTGGTTCGTTCTCTTCCTCCTCCTTGAGAAACTTGACCTCTACCGAGTAAGGAGCATGGCGCGAGCCTTGAGGCAGCCTCTTGTGCCGCGCAAGCTTGGTCAGGTCCTTGGAAACAATGGCCCTCCGCAAGCGCTTCTTGTTGATCTGAACGAGCTTCTCTCGCTCGAAATCAACATCCCAGTGCTTTCTTCTCATTATCTCCGCCGAATGCTCTTTTTCCCTCACGATCTGTCGCTTCAACATCGCTTTGAACCTCGGAAAGTGCTTGGCATAGCAGGTGTCGCCGTATTCCTTCACGGTCTTGCTCCCCCAGTGGTGATACCAGAAGTGATCGAGGTGGCATTGAATCGGCTTCGACAAGATCGAGAAAGGCTCTCCGCACTCTGCGCACCTGCCAGACATGTTCCTACTCTTTCTGAGATTGTTTTCTACCAGTTCTCGACGCAATTCACTCGCATAGTTTTGGTCATAAACTCTGCGCTTCTCCTGCTCAGCTTTCCACTCCAAATCAAGCTTGCTCAGGTGAGACTCTTCTCTCTCTTGCTCCATCCGTGAAGAGGTCGACTCGTACTCCAGTACAACTCCTGAAGACCCCAGGGAGTGACGACGTTGAAGTTTGTACATAACCTTTGACTTCTTCATCCCGATCGACACGTCAGTGAAAGGCGTGTCCAAAGAAAGCGATTTGCTCCTCTTTCTCTGAGATACGTGAAACTCCGGCAGAGTCTTTATCCGCATCTCTACGCACAACTCACCAACGGGATCAGATTCTGCAAGGTTGTACAGCAAGAGATTTTGAAGGACCTTGATGTTTGGTTTCAATTCTTTGAATGCAAAAGAGGCATTTCCAATCAAAGCGTTTGTTCTGATCAAGTCATAGTCCAGGACATCAAAACGAACAATGTCTTGTTTGTCCAACGAGTGAGCTTCAAACTCGAAGGACTCGTTGAAGTTCGGGTAGTTAGTCTTGAATCTGATTCCTGTCTTCAAGATCCTCTCCTTGAACTCTACACTGACAAACGAATCGCAAAGCTGTTTGGTACCGAGAGGCTTCAACTCTTTCGCTGACAAGATCTTGACAGTGAAGATGGTGTCGGGAGGAAGGTCAGTTGGCTTCGGGACCAGAGATATCTCCAGGTATACTTCACCCTGGTATTCCGGGTGCAGGTAGTCCTTCAAAGGATACCACTTGCAAACTGTTTCTCCTACACTGAAGCCCAGGAGGTCGATATCCACTCGTCCGCACGAGTCGTCTTTAGATCCGAAGTCATGATCGAAGCATTCGATGCCCAACGACGTGTCCATGGTACTCGAGCTTGTCGGGAAGACAAGGATTTCGTTCCAGCGAGGGTGCAGAGTCTTGAAGATGGTTGAAGTCTTCTTTGTCTGACCCTCGAACCTGGCGATCACGTACGGGTCTGAAGTGCCGCCCCAGTCGAGAGCCGGGAGGTTCCTCGCTTCCGAGACTCGAATCCGAAGCTGAGAATCTGTATCTTGCTCGCTGAGCTTCTTGCGAATGGAGATCTGGATCTTTACCTCCGCTCTAGAATCGGGCAACTGGAAGTTTTCCAGGAGCAACCATCTCTCGTGCAGGTAGTTCAAGGGGAAGTCCAACAGGTTGAGAGCAGAAGTTCCAATCATCACATCCTTCCTCCATTCCATGTGGTCCATTCCTGTAACGACCAACGCACTGTCCAGCCGATCTTCGAACCCCTCGAAAACAAACGATTCGTTCCACTCAGGTCTGCTGTACAACCCCTGCTTGAATCGGACCTTGGTCTTCTGCACCCTCCCCTCGAACTCTACTTTGAAGTAGGGGTCACATGAATCACTCCTCGCCCTCGGAGGCAGCTTCCTGGCCTCCAGGATGGTAACGCGGATGATGGTATCGAAGTCTTTTAACTCCCTCATCTTCTTGAGGCTGACCTGGACGTTGATCCTGCCGTAGAAGTCTACCTCCTCGTTCCTCCTCCTCTTCACCTGACTCGGGTCCCCGTCCTTGCTGAACTTCTGCAAGTCGTGCCATGTTCCACTCCCAACCCCGGCAAGGTTCTCATTCATCAGGTTGATTCGGCAGCTGCCAATCAAGATGTCTCCCAGGATGTTCTGGTGGAAGCAGTGGATCTCAACAAAGTCGTTGCTCACACTTGAGCTCTGTGCTGGGAACTCAAAGATCTGCCTCCACATTGGCTCTAGAGTGCGCGACTTGACATCCGTCTTGAAGACTTGGCTCTTGTACTTGACGATGGCGTAGGAGTCGACAAATCCGTGGAAGCCCAACACGGGAAACTCTTGTCCCTGGATCAGATGCACAGACAGCAGGGAGTCCGGCTCGACCGGCTTTCTCTTCTCGAAGCACAAGGACACCTCCACCTCAGCTCGGACCTGAGGATCCGAAGGGTCCAGTATGATGTACCATGACACGATGGGCTCGGAGTCCAACACCATCTTGGAGATGTTGATGTTGCAGCCTCCCATGTACTGAGGGTCGTCCTCCTCCTCCCAGTCCCAGCACTGCAGCTGCAGCTCTTTCGTGTCTTGGATCTGATTTTCCTCATTGACGGTCCACACCGGGAACTCGAGCGTCTGGTTCCATTGAGGAGCGAGAGTTCTCATCCTCACTTCCGTCTTGAGGTCTCGTGCTCCCAGCCTGAACAGCAGGTACCTGCAGACACGTCGGGTCAACAGGAACAAGGTCGGTGACTGCGGAGGCTGCTCACGGATCGCTGAGCCCATCTTCATTGCGAGCAGGAAGATTTCTTGCTTGGATGGCAACAATGCTCAAGACCTTTTGCAATCAGCTCAGAGAGGTAGAGGCAGAAACTCAGTGCAAGGCTCACATATGGTGAGTCCGCGTCCGGATCGATAGGCTCTTCTTCGCCCTCCTTCTTCTGCTTCTGCCAGGATCGCTTTGAGCTTTTACGTCGCAGCAGGACGAGGGAGGCAGGACAAGGCAAGACCAACAACAGGCAAAGATGAGGGAAGATAAGGGGAGGGGAGGAGAGGTCAGGGAAGGGGAGGTCAGGGGGAGACTGTCATGTACCTTCCTGCGGAAGACCGAGGAGAGGGCGGGAAGGGAAGCACCTCCCCCCATCTCGCCTACGGCATTGCTACCGCTATCGCCCCGCCGTCGGAGTGAGGCAGACCCGCGAAATGAGAACGGGACTGTAAAAGAAAGAAAGACAAAAAAGAACGGACCCGTTGTATTCCAACAGTTGAACTTCACGTGTAAGTTGAGGAATCACTTGTAAGTGCTTGAACTTCTTTACTTGTAAGTAGTTTAGACTTGCACCTGCTACTTGCGAATGGTGGTCATAAGGCTGGTAACGGTTACTAGGATTGCAGTTTCGAGTGCTCCGGTCATTTAGGTTAGGGTTTAGGTTTTAGAGGCGCCTCTACCTTTGTATCATATCTGTTCAGGACAAAATTCGTCGAATTCTACTTGTGACTTGACCGCAACAGCCTAACTGTTGAGCTTCGGAAGATTCAAAGAGTGTGAGTTACGATTTAAGTTAATGCATCAATTCATTCAACTCATTCAATTCTACTCGTTGCACTCGTGGCCATGCTGCAACCTGCCACCATGACATCACATCCTCTATCGGAAATCTCACTGTCAGAGAGCGCATGCATCCTCACCGACGCCTTCTGCCCCGGCGTACTGTATCCCCATGAGGCGAAGTACACGTTCACGCGCGAAGAGAGGAAAAGATCCGAAACAACCTGCCAGTCTCTCAGACAGGAATGAGTTGCTAGCTCGACTTCACATTCTTGATCACTCCTGCGTTGTCATCGAAGTAATGCAGGCGGTGCTCTGTGTTTGCAAAAATCAACGTAAAGGTAAGAAAGACTTGCAAGGCCGTACCCGGATATTCTTTTGCAATTTCAGACAATGCCTGAACCTAAAGGACGCCCGTCAGATCAAACAAGGAAGATACAACCTGCACCTTTGTGTCCTGCGATACTTTCACGACTCTGCTTCGCTCCAGCTCGACCCCTGATCTTTTCAACACCGAGTTGGTGAAATCTTGTTCATTGCTGGTTAGGACGTAAATTTTATCCCCGAAGCTTCTCAAAGCTATGTCAATCCCAGGATACAGAGGGTTTTTCTCCATCCAATGAACGATGTCGTCTTGTCCAGCAGCCTCCTGTGCTGTGAAGGTGCTGAGCAGGTCGTTCTTTTTGCACTGGTACTTGTGCAACAGCACGTCTCTCATGAAATCCCAATTTTCAACCATCTCTCCTGCTGACAATGGCCGCTCTCCTGAGGGCGACCGCTTGGCTGTTACGGCTTCAGACACGCAGAGTCTTGCGGCAAGAACCAGGTCTGCAGGGTCCGAAGCTACGGGCCTCAGTTGCTTCAACTTCTCCTCTAGCCACCTTGGAACATGACCTCCTTCATCAGCCTCATACTGGCTCCAGTCATAGCCCACCCAACTCTTCCTCACGCCAGCATCCCTTGCGCTCAGATAGGCGCACTCCTGCATGGTTTCAGGCCAAAGCTGTCTGGCAGCGAGGACTGCGGTTTCAACGTAGTTTGAGACAGTGTTGCAAAGGACTCCATCGAAGTCGAACACGTAAACACTTTGCTCCTGAGCATCACATCTCAACGAAAAACTTCCTTCCCTCACTCTTCCACGACTTCTTCCTGGATTGAAGGAGTTGTGTCCTAAAAGTTTCCGTGGCCAACCTGTCCCGCCCGCGGCAACAAAGCCATTCACACTGACGATAGAGCAGCAACCCGTAAGCAGCAACAGAGCAAGCCCAGCATATCTCATCCTCGCTCCTCTTCTCCATGCTCGTCCCCCATTCCCTCTCCTTCCTTCCACACCGCCATTGCCAGGCACCCCCGTCATCGCAATCCTTGTAACAAGCAAGCTTCAAATCCGGGTCCGCCTCAGCCGGACCCGCACACTGAAAACAGTCACACTAGTAGTCAAGTTAAGTTAAAGTAGTCCGGTTCAATTCAGTGAACGCGGCGGCCCGGCCGCCGACCGTCCGGGCCCGGCAGTTTCACACCGGACCTCGGAGTCAGGGAATGCAGCACTGCAGGCATCGAGCCGATGGAGTCAATGTGTGAGTCACAATCATGACAAACTTGCAATATGATTGCCGGAGGCCCGGGCAACGTCGTGCCAATGTAATACGGTTGTATATACTTGTGTCACTAAGCGTTCGTAGTGTAGTGGTTAGCACATCAGCCTTCCAAGCTGGTGGCCCGGGTTCGAGTCCCGGCGATCGCATTCTTTTTGTCTACATAGATATGACCTCCCACAAGAGCTGCCAATATGGCAGGCTCTATGGACATATCTTGCGCACAGTGAGCTACTCCATGCTCCTGTGTCCTTGTTTGCTGCCGTGCTTCTGATTTTTGCTCTCTCTCTTACACCTCCATCCTCTCTCCTCGCGATCCTTCCTCTCTGTTTCGTGACTCCGATCAACACTCAACCATCCCTTCCCGCACAGAGACTCGCGATCCCTTGCCCTCGACTCGCATTGATCGAGGCACTGCATTTTGAGGGATGGCGCACCACAAATGCTCAAAGAAATTCCTCGGTATCTTGTGCATAGCCGGAGTTGTTGTCATGTGGGTCGGGTCGTCTGAGCTTATCCAGATCATTTTTGATGATCGGAATTTCGCGAGACCATTCTTCCTGACTTACTTCTCAACGTCGCTATTCTGCATCTACCTCCTGGGTTTCTTGTTTTTATCTTCGTGGCGCAATGGAAACAAGGCTCCATCCACCGATGGCAGTTCAACAATAGAGGAGAGCCGTGCTATGTTGCTGGATTCAGCTGCCACGGAGGAGGATGCGTTGCCGCCGGCAACTAAGCATGAATCCCCGCAAGGATTCAAGACCGGTTGGCAGACGGCAATGCTTGCAGTCCAGTTCGTTCCCCTTTGGTTTGCTGCAAACTGGACTTTCAATGCAAGTCTATGCACGTGAGCTTTGACAACGTTCAATGGAATCGAGATCAATCACCCCCTATTACAGGAAGTGTGGAACAGGAACGACGGTTGCATCAAGTACAGTCATAAGGTTTCAATCAATCGCTGAGAAATTTTCTGAAGCGTCTTGAAAGCTCTTCATCGTCGTTCTTCACGTTGATAATGTCAGCGTTGGTTCTGAAAGAACATCTTTCTTGGGTCTTTGACTATGTCGAGTTAATGTTAAATGATTTCTATCTTCTGCAGATCAAATTTTTATCAGTTCTGATGAGTTGTGGTGGAGTGGTACTAGTGACGGAGTTTGATGAGGGTTCGAGTGCCGAAAGCTCATTGCTGGTATGGCAACAAGACGCAGTGTGCTTTCACTGACTCTGCTAAAATCAGGGAGACGGTTTGTCTTTGATTTCTGCGATTCTTATGGCAGCCTTCACGGTCTTGACGTGCAATCTTTCTTATCCTTGTGAAGTCTGAATTGCCTCTTGCAGGTCCAATTGAAATACGTGGTTCCTAACGAAGACGAAGTCCGGATGCCGATGCTGCTAGGTTGGTTGACTGTCGAGCAAGCCGTGCGAACGTGTCTGATTTGAGGTTATCTACCAGGTTTTCTGGGGCTATTCACTCTGATCATTGGACTGCCGTTCCTCCTCTTGTTTCATTACACCGGGTTGGAGAAGTTTGAAGGGGTCAGCCGGCCTTGAGGTGTTTTTAGACGGTAACCCTCCTGCACCCAGATCCCCCTCAATGTTTTGGCGTACCTGACTTTCAACGGAGTGGTTGGAACCGTCCTCTCAGACCTGCTCTGGGCGCAGGTCTCTCAGAGCGCTCCGAGTGCCGCTGACATGCGATGGCAGGCCATTGTGTTCACTTCTCCGCTGCAGGCAAACCTGGGAGTCAGCCTTACCATCCCCTTGTCCTTCTTCGCCGACGAGGTCTGTGATCCAGTCAAGCTTCGGAAGGAGCTCACGGTTTGCTGCATGACAGATTGCTCAACGGCACGTGGGTCACAAGATGAAGTGGGAGTACTTCTGCGGGGCGGTACGCGCTACGTTCTGACCGACTTGTTTCTCTCTCTGACTGATGCGAATTCACTTCAAGGCTCTGGTGTTTGTCTCCTTCGTGGGTGTGAACAGCTATGCAGAAGACCGCAAGGACCCAAGTAGCCCTGACGTCGACATGGAATCCAACATAGGCCTGGAGGACGTCAGGTGGGCCGCATATTCCAGCCTCGGAGAGATGTCTGACTGCGTTCTCGGCAGTGGAGGGGATGACCCCGGGGCTGAGTAGGGCAGACTCGGAGTCTGGCCCTCGCTGATGCCTAAATGTGGCCCATGTAACATAGATTCGGATAAATGAGTGTTATAGTAGCAAGGTTATAAACCACCGTGGCACAGTAGCCTGAGTCAACTTGCTGCTGGAGCCCGGCCGACTCGGTCATTCAACGGCTGATGACTCGCGGCTGATGACTCAGTGGCGGCAGGGGCCGGGCCGGGCCGGGCCCGGTGGGGGGGTGGGGGGCGGCCTAGTGGGGGCGGCCGCCGGGGCCCAGCGGCGGCCGGGCCCGGCGGCGGGCCCCTGGACTCAGTGAGGGGCTGGATGAGGGGCAAGAAATGACGGGAATGAGGGGGATGACAAGGCCTAGAGGCTATATCGGGTGGACATGTCGGCGATAGGCGGTAAGCGAAGCGATGGAGGAGGGGAGGAGAGATGTCCGGTAGCAGTAGAGGAGGATGTAGCTTCTGTCCATGTCCGTACAGCAGAGCAGGAGGTGCAAGCGGACGATGTGCAATGTTCGGAGGTCAGATCCCAAGCACGAGAATCAGTACGGTCCGAGGTTGCAAAGCGAGGAACCAAGAATGAGAAGGTCTCTGGTGACTCTTGGGAGCAGCAGGGCCTCTGGTGACTTGAGGTGCTTTAGCATTGAGAGAGTAGACTGATGTCTCGGCATCATCACATCCTAGTCCCTCAAGTCCGAAACCTTTCTCGGAATGGCATGTCGTGTTAGGAATGTTATTCTCAGCTGCCCATCTACCTTGTTCTCGACCTTCGCTGACAACGGCTTGAAGGCGAGGACCTAGAGAAGCTGTTGGAGAGGATTCGGAGGAAACACGAGGTAAGGACCATGGGTGGTTCCCTGGTGCAAGAAGCTGACTGGGTTGTGTGTGTTCCAGTCGCAGCAAGGTGCGTCCAACCCGAGGTCTACAGTAGGGATCGTTCTGGAAGGTGAAGCGACGCGTGGGAGTCTCGATCCCCCGCAGCTGACTAATGGCTCCTATCAGGCGTCGCTGTGAACCTGGTAGTCCCTCGAAGCCCAGCTGACAAGTGAGCTGCTCATGTTCTTGTCGCCTCCTCTCAGCTGACACCCTTGGCAGGACGTACAACGGGCTCAAGATTGAGAACGGTGATGTCGTCACGAAGATCGATGGGGCCCCGGTCACCAAGAGCGACGTCGCAGCTCAGCTCCGAGGGCGAGACATCCCTGGAGAGATCGTGACCGTTTCGATCATGAAAGCTCACAGCAATAGGGAGGTTGACTTCAAGCTGACCAAGGCGGACATGCGCTCTGTGCTGCACTACAAGGACCTGTTTCTCACCCTTGGGGAGCTGAACTCTGAGAACTCAGTGATCAAGTCAGAGAAAGTCTCGAAGAAGATTGTAGAGCTCGAGAACAGGGTCAACAACATCATGGAGTTTCACAGCTTGCGAGACAGCAGCAATCATGCTCATGTAGAAGAGTTGGAGCAGCTCGTGCGCGAAGTTTCACTTTCCAATCAAGAGATCGCGAACAAGTGTGCGAATCTCGAGGCGACGTTGAGGGCGCAGGAACGGGAGAAGGAGAGCGCTGGCAGAGATTTTGAGAGCATTAAAGGAGCAGAACAAGAGCTACAAAGGAGATTGAGGGAGCTTGAGAGAGAACGTGACGAGACCAAGAGGCAGCTCGATGGCGCTAGGGTTGCAAACAACAACTTGCAGTGGACAGAGAAGCAGTTGGAGAGTTGTCGCAGCGAAGTCGAGACTCTCACAGCTGCAAACAACAACTTGTCAGAGCAGTTGAGGGCGTGCAAGGAGTCGGAGAAGAGCTCCGAGGCAGAGAGGAACCGATCTCGCCAGGACTTCTCCATGCTCAGCCAACTGGTAGAAGACTTGAAGAAGCAAATCGATGTGATACCTTGTCTGTTTACTAGGGCTCAGCGTTGACTTGCCTGCCAGGTGATCAGAGGGAATGAGAGCAAGTTGACGAACGACCTATCGGACGAGAGGAAGAGAGCCCAGGAGCTGGAGGAGCGGCTCAAGGGCGCGGAAGATGTTTTCACCAAGAAGATGAAGGCGGCAGAGGCGGAGGCTCTCGAGATGGTCAGGTTGCAGCAGCAGGTCAAGGAAGAGGCTCAGGTCAAGGCAGACCTTCAGGTAAGACTCGCCGTCCCGTTTGCCCCTTGTCTTGACCCCCAGCTGCCAGGCCCAGCAGATGGCTCTGAACCGGGAGTTGAGCTTCTCCAAGGCGACGATCTCGAAGCTGGAAAAGGAGTTGGAAGATCTGTCGTACATCAAGGAGGAGCAGGCGAAGAACGACTCAAAGAGCATCAAGGACGTGTTCGATGAGTGCGCGAGACTGAAGGATGAGCTCGCGACCCTAAGGCTGGACGCTTCCAAGAACGACTTCTTCCTCCAGCAGACGAAGGACCGCTGCTTCTTCCTCGAGCAGCAGCTGGCGGAGAGCAGGGACTTATTGAAGATCACCTCTTCCGAGCTTGAGTGGGAGAAAGCTGAGAACTATGACCTCAAGGAGAAGATCGCAAAGGGCTCTCGGGGATCCCAGCTGACGTCCAGCATGGAGCCCGTCGAGTCGGCTAAGATGAGTGTCCTGAGGGCAGAGAACGAAGACCTTCGCAAGAAAGTCGACTCTCTGCGAGAGGAGCGGCGGCAGGTGAAGTCTCGAGGAGGAGGAGGAGGAGGAGGGGGCGAGCTGACACTGTGCAGGCCAGGGAGACAATGGAGAGGCAGCGGGCCGGCCTGGACGCGCTGCAGCTGGGGTATGGGCAAGCGATCAAGAGCCCCTTGGACATGGATGCTCGCGTGCGGATCCAGACACTCCAGGTAGCGGTGGAGCAGCGAGACCAGGAGATTCTTCAGCTCAGGAGGCAGCTGGAAGATGCCATGGTGAAGAAGCGGCAAATCCCGCTCTACTCGGGGCAGCAGGCGACTCCCGACCAGCTGAGTGACGGCAGGAAGGGGAGGAGGGAGGGAGGAGGAAGGAGATCGGCTGCATTTCCGCTGTTCAACGCGCGCACGGACGACATACCTCAAGTCGCCACCATCGCTCTTTTCCTCCTGTGCCTGGACAGCCTCGTCATCCATGTCCAGGATACTTACTTCCATGGCGACAAGGGCGGCGTCCTGGGGTTCCTCTTCATCTGCGGCTCGCTCGCTGCTGTCATCTTTGTGCTCCTCACGCTCTTCAAGTTCTTCTTGCGGCTGCTGGGGGAGAGAAATCAGGAGGTGAGGAGAGGAGGAGGAGGAGGAGGAGGAGAGGGGAACGCAAGTATCCTGACGGAGGCCGAGCAGGAGAAGGTGACTGTGCAGGTGATATCGGAGCACGCTCCTTTACTTCCCTTCCAGCAAGGGAGCTACGTCAGCGAGTCCCGTCCTCAGATGTAAGTCATATCCTCCCCTCCTCCCCCCAGCCCTTTCCCAGTGCTCTTGCCTTTGGGCTCCTGCTTCTCCTTGCCCCCCTTCTTCCGCCTCCCTGTCCTTCTTCTTCACTCGTGACCGAGGCAATCGACGCAGGGAGCAAGGAGCAGAGGGAGCGCGCAAGAGCAACAAGAAGCAAGATATCAGGTGCTCCTCCTCTCCCCTCACGCTCCCAATAACAAGTTTGCAAGATGGTCCAACAGCACCGGCCAACCCCACCACGATGTGTAGAAAATCATGTAAATGTTTAGTTGAGGTCTATTACAGAAGTTTTTCCCCATCAAGGCTCCTAAATCTCTCTCCTCTCCTTCCCACCCGTTCGATAGCCCGAAACAGGTGACAAGGTTAGTAGCTGTTGACGAGCGCACTCCCTTGAGACACTCGCTCTTCCTCTAGAACCAGGAGTTCTCAGAGGCCACAGCCCAGAAGAGCAGTCCTCCACCAGCTAGGATCACCTGGTATCAAACAACAACCATGTCAGGCAGGAGAAGACAGGACGCGATCTGAAATGTGTTGGAGTGTTTCATCAACATGAACCTGGGACAGATGAGAAGATCATTGCAGTGAGGACTCACCGGCAGGACAACGAAGACTCCTCCCTGGTTCACAAACTCGCTGTCTTCCTTCACCTCCTGCTTATCCTTGCCCTGCATGCTTTTCCATTGCTCCTCGTCGATAGGCTGCGCATACATGACGTTAGCTGATCCTTCCTCTCATCCAGCAAGACACAGATGCATCATGCTCCTCACCTGCTCCATCTTGTTCAACAGGGAGATGGCAGTGTTTGCCGTCGCCGCGATGGCTGTAGTTCCAATCTTGATCGTCTCCTTTTGCGCCCGCTCCATTGGGGTCAAAACTTGCTCTTCCCCTGTGGACTTGTCCTCTACTCCTCCTTCTTTCCCCAGCCCGAGAGACGCGATGCGGCTCTCGAGCTCCTCGTCTGAGAGAGTGGAAGAGATCACCTCCTCCTCCTCCTCCTCCTCCATGGAGTTTGAGGCATCATTGACTGAGGGAACAGAGTCCTTGGACAGGAAGAGAGAAGCACGACGGCGAGGAATTCTAGCGCTGACGATAGAGCGGCACAACCCTACGGAAGCATGGGAGGATCGCAGAGGAAGAACGTTGGGAGTGAAGGAGAAGACGCAGACGGCACTCAGACACAGGACAAGAGCGAAGAGGGCAGACTTCATGGTTGCGGGCAGCTCCCAACTTCTCTCAAACTGCCGCAATAGCAATGTCAAGAAAGTGATGAAAAATCTTCCAACATGTTTGTAAATCAAGTTCATCATCAGTGATACTGACCTGACAAAGTCATCTTTGTCTAGCTTCTTGTTCCATTCTCTAATTTTCACTGCTCTGTCTACCCCCGCCATGCCTTGTCCTCTCAGCCTCATCTTACCCCTGTGTCTGCCTCCCTGCCATGCCCTCTCTTCACAAATCCCTCCCTCCTCCCCTCCCTCCCTCCCTCCCTCCCTCCCTCCCCTCCTGCTCTCCCTCCCTGCCATCCCTCTTATAAGTGCTAACACGTATTTTATTTGCCTCCCACTACCCTACCCCCACATCAAAGTATATAATCATTTCCAGTAAACAAAGAGGTAGTGGTACATACCCCTACCCATACTTTTTGGGTTGCACCTGCTTTCAGTATGTTAGGGGGTGGTCAGTCCGGATTTTGCGAAATCAATTTTGTAGGATGTGTAGAGCAGCGAAGGGAGGAGGGCAGAAGCGGAGAGCTAGGATGCAAGAGAGAAGAAGAAGGGATGAGCAGAGCAGAGCAGAGCAGAGCAGGGCAGAGCAGGGCAGAGCAGAGCAGAGCAGAGCAGGGCAGGGCAGGGCAGGGCAGAGCAGGGCAGAGCAGAGCAGAGCAGAGCAGAGCAGGGCAGAGCAGAGCAGGGCAGGGCAGGGCAGGGCAGGGCAGGGCAGGGCAGAGCAGAGCAGAGCAGGGCAGGGCAGGGCAGGGCAGAGCAGCGCAGAGCAGAGCAGATCGTTGCGAAGCCTCTAGGCATGCAGAAGTGTGTTTATCAGAGTCTGACCATCTCAGAAGGAATGGTAGGGCGAACAGTCCTATTGGTCACCGTGGCATTAGTTTTGCTACCCACAAGGTGATAAATCAAGTTCCTTGTACACAAGAACCATGTTCTCTGGATCGAGTTGTTGTATCAAAAGCTCTTTGTACTCTGTCTTCCGTGCATCACCGCGCAAGGAACTTCAGTGAAAGGTTTTGCAGCTCTGGATTCCAGACTCGGGCGGGGTTTGCCAACAATGCAATCAGGACCCATCGATGTGAGAACTTTGTGATTGAACGATTGAACGTGACTTGCAGTTGTAGCGTTGTGCTCTGCCGCTGCCAGGAATATCCGCATGGGGCTATTCGACTTCCTGAAGCCTGTAGAAGACTCCCTCCCTCTAGTTTCTTCTGATCTCTTGGCTCGCAGCAAGAACAGCAGCGACCGTCGAGTCCCGACGGGCCATGGAAGGTGTAGGAGGAGCCAGGGGCTCAACATGTCTGAGCAGCCTCACTCGCAGAAGCTGCTGGACGAGGAGACGGGAAAGAACTACTTCTGGAACACTGAGACCGGTTGTTCGTCCCCTCCCGCTCCTCCAGTGCTGACCGAGCGAGCAGGAGAGACGACGTGGGACAGTCCGTTGGTGGAGAAGACAGGTACCCATGATAGATCCATATCCTCTCCTCGACTCTCCCGTTTCATCCTCGTCTGATGCTGTCTCTGATCGGTTACAGCAACACTTGAAGTGAACAAATTCCGACAAGTCAAACGTTTGACATTCTCAACCGTCCCACTAGTCAACTTGACCTTCCGGCAGGTGACACACGGCAGACAGAAGCTCTGCCGTTCCCTGTGGACTTGCTAGCGGGAACATACCTTGAGGGCAGGCAGCTTTCATGTATCTTCCAGGCGTCTCGGGACGGGTCTGTGAAGCTGACGAGAGTGCTGGTCTGCTGATCGCCTGTAGATGGTCAGCGAGCAAGTTCCATTCCTTGTGCGACAACAGGGGTCCTTGCGTCGTCTACTGCGAGGTCTTCCATGAGTCTACCCGGCGCCCCTGCCCGCATGCTGACGGACTTGACGAGCAGACGGAGCAGGGGAGCAGGTTCGGAGCCTTCAACCCTGATGGATGGTGCTCCGACGACGACTGTCTGCCCAACTTGCATCCTCCTCCGATCCTGACCGGGAGCATGCAGATCGCTACAACCTCAACACCTTCCTCTTCTTCTGGCCGGCAAAGGTGCGTCCTCCTCCCGCTGCTTCTCTCTCGTCAGACCCTCCACCAGGATGGTGCGGGTCCTGTCAAGCTGCCCAAGGTGGGAGGAGGAGACACAGCGCTCTTCGATTATGCTCGGTCTGGGCCTCACTTCGGTGCCGATGGACTCGTTATCGGTGTGAGCTCCTCCTTCTCCTCCTCCTCCTGCTCTCTGAAGTTACAGCTCACCTTGATGTCGCAGGAGCGGGACAAGCTGCTGTCACCGGTCTGTTTGCAGGGCCAGACTTCAGCGATAGTGACAAGACGCAAGGACAACTGAAGGTGAGTATGGAGGAAAGACCGCATGGAATGGCGACGATGCGAAGAGGGACTTGGGGAAGCAGGAGCAGGAGCAGGAGCAGGAGCAGGAGCAGGAGCAGGAGCAGGAGCAGGGGCAGGAGCAGGAGCAGGGGCAGGGGCAGGGGCAGGGGCAGGGGCAGGGGCAGGGGCAGAAGGCTGAATAGGATCATGCAGGATGTCATTTCCCGGCTTGGACAGAGTTACGCGAGGATCCCGAAGGAGTGAGACCAGCGGAAGAGCTGATTGCTCCTGCGCATGCTCACCCTGCTCCTAAGGTTCGGTCAGACGAGCATTCTAGGAGGCGACCGCGAGAGCGCCCGACTTGCCGAAATGAAGGTGCGTCCTGCTTGCAGCCATCATGCGATGATGGGAGGAAGAACAGGTTTACGCAGCCCCAGAGCTCTTCTGATTCAGATTTGTACATAAAGCTTGCCTTCTACACCGTCTCTCTGCTGCCGCCGCCGCCGGCTCACTCCTGCTCGGACTCCTGATAATCCTACTGCTTCGGATACAACCTCCTCCTCTTCCTCCTCCCTCCCTCC